CTATTTCTTCATGTGGGCTATCAGCTTGAAGTACCATAGCCAAAAGACCCTGATATGTTGTGGACTCATGTTTTTAGTTTATGTTACCAATCTAGGCCGGAATGTATTTTCTTTATTATGTGTTTTCCCTGTACAGTAGCTATGTATAGGTAGTGATATAATATATTATATCAGGCAGGGAGTGTGTTGCCTTCACAGGCTAATTGAATTATAGTTACTTATATGGGATATGTAGTGTACCACTGCCATCTAGTGGCAAACATGAATGGCAGTTCTCCTCTAGATATGTACATTCTCAGACAGGAAATGACTTTTGGTTTAGGAAGTTCTTCAGCCATTTTTAGATTGCCATTCACTGTGGATGCATGTGCCTGATTCTCTCCCAAGGGGCTTGAGACATCATCACCTGTAAGTGCCTTTCTTCTGTGTCATCTGTCATTTATGCTACACTAGTTATTCTATGTATACTGATATGCTGTCATTGTATTGTGTTTCAGTTTCACCTATAAAATAAAGTTGGATTCTTTGGTAGACAACACAAGCAGTGGGCTTCTGTTTGCTGGGGATTCTGACAAGGGTTTAGCTGTCCCGTTTAGAGCCACACATAGTCAGTGTTTTGAGAATGGAACAGACTCATTATTCAAAAGAAAAATGTAATTTCATAAGCTTTAAGGGGGTGCGGTTTGGGGGCAGGGCTGGGGTTGGGGAATGGTCCGGGGGTGTGGTTGGAGGCGGACCTGGGCAAGGTTGGGTGGGGCAACTGGTGGTGGAGTAAGGTTTGTGCCTAGCTAGTAGGTAGTAGACTCAAAATTTTAAAGCCCTGCTATATACCATTTAACATATACCCATAGCATGTGTGGGCAATATATCATTCAAGTTACAACGTTGTGTTAAAAAAAAAAATGTTTTGTCATTTTCCAAAAATGTATGGCAAAAAATAAAATATTCCATGGATGCAACATGCCACTAAGCAAATTCCTTGTGGTGTCTACTTTCCAAAAAGGGGTCATTTGGGTTTTTATTTTACTACTGCCTTGGCATTTTAGCATCTCAAGAAATGTGAGTCATTTCAAGGCAGTCGGAAAGTATAAGCTGCGTAAATTCCAATATATACCATAGGTTGTAGACACTATAACTTTCACACAAGCAATTTATATACACGTATTTTTTTTTTTTTTACCAAAGACATGTAGCAGAATACATTTTGGCCTACATTTATGACTAAATTTGAGTTTATTGGATATTTTTTATAACAGAAAGTAGAAAGTGTTGTTATTTTTTTACATTTTCTGTCTTTTTTTATTTATATCACAAAAAAATAAAAACCCCAGTGGTGATCATATACCACCAAAGAAACCTCTATTTGTGTGAAAAAGGACATAAATTTCATTTGGGTACAGCGTTGCATGATTGCGCAATTACCAGTTGCAATAGTGCAGCGCCAAATAGCAAAAAAAGTTCCTGGTCAGGAAGGGAAGTAAATCTTTCGGAGGGGAATTGGTTAACAAACTCTGAAAACTGTGGGAGAAAAATAAAGTGAAAAACTGCAAAAATTATCTGGCCACCCAAGTTTAAAAGTGGCCTGGCAATGAAAGAACATAAACAGCGGTACAGAAAAATAGCCAATTTACTGAGATAAATAAAATACAAGCGACTATAGTTTAGGGTTGAACTGCTTCTATGGTTACCTTTCATTGCCAGAGATTCTTCTTCATTGTTCCTGTAAAAACAGGGAGGGGGTAGGTTGACAATAGGTATGATAGTCCTAAACTTGCTTGTATTGATAATCCAGAGAGTAGTTAAAGGATCTTCAGAGGAATACACTGAACTCAGCCTAAAACATAGATACACTCATTTACATGTGAATGCTGGCTTGTTCTAATCTGGGTAAATAGCTGACACTATTAAATAGATACCACGTTCATCTTAATGTGAGAAGAATTTAATGCATTTTATTAAACAAGTTTGATTCAAGTTTTATTATTGGAAGCATATTGAAGCAAAGGCATTGTAACTGTGCCACTTCAACTCAATTCATTTTCAGACCGCTGAAGTTATTATTATATTTAACAATTTATAAATCCATTTTTGTGATGTAAACAGTACCATATTATTAAAAGTAAAATGTATATGAATGTTTATATGTTGTTGATATGTATGTTTATTTATTGATATACTGTTTATTATTTTCTAAAAAATATTACATAAACATAACTGCAAAGGTAGGAATAAAATGAACAAATTATGTTGTAATATTAAGCACATAGAAATGGGATGATATTACAAATAGCTATGATGTCTGCTCACTCCCATATGTTATTGGAGTGAGCTCCACTATTTTTTTTCTAGTAATCTATAGTGGACAGATGTTCCCAAATTAGAATTTGAAAGCAAAGAGCAGGCCTGTAGACCAGAAATGACACCTAGATAAACATTCTCAAATCCTTGTATTGATAGATAAGGGTAAATGTAGCACTAGGGTCGTCAACTCGAATACCAACCATGGCACCACCTGCCTGGAGTTTGCATGTGCACCCTGTACATGTGTGGGTTTCCTCCAGGTTTTCTGGTTTCCTCCAACACTCAAAAGACATGATGACATGATTGTAGGGTAATGAGTGCCTGTCTAAATTGGCCCTTGTATGTATGAAAGTGAGTTATGGACCGTAGATTGTAAGCTCCTTGAGGGCAGAGACTGATGTGAATGTATATTATATACATAATGTGTGTGTGTATGTATATATATATATATATATATATATATAGGGTGCTGTGTAAATTGAAGGCGCTATAGAAATATCTGAACTACCGTATTTTCTGGCGTATAAGACGACTTTTCAACCCCTGAAAATCTTCTGAAAAGTCGGGGGTCGTCTTATACGCCGGTGCGAGCCGGTGTCAGGGCGGCAATTTTTCGAGGGGCGGCGCGGCGCCGCCCCCCCTCCTCCTCCAACGGACACTAAGTACAGGGGTGGGCAGAGGGGCTGCTGTACCTTACCTGGCTCCGGTCCCACGACGATCCGGTCCAGGAAGCGCGGCTGCTCCTTCTTTCAGTTCGGCAGCTCAATGGTGACGTGGCCGCTCGGCTCCGCCTCCTCACCGGTGATTGGGCGCCAGCACTGGAAAGGCACACAGGCGACCAATCACCGGCGAGGAGGCGGAGCCGAGCGGCACACCCCCGCGAAAATCGAGCGGCCGAACTGGAAGAAGGAACAGTCGCTCCTCTCCCCCACTGACACCAACGATGAGGCACTGTTCCTCCCCCCACTGACACCAATGATGAGGCACTGTTCCTCCCCCACTGACACCAACGATGAGGCACTGTTCCACCCCCACTGACACCAACGATGAGGCACTGTTCCTCCCCCATTGACACCAATGATGGGGCACTATTCCTCCTCCCCACTGACACCAACGATGGGGCACTATTCTCCCCACTGATACCAATGATGGGCCACTATTCCTCCCACTGACACCAATGATGGAGCACTATTCTCCCACTGACACCAATGATGGGGCACTATTCCTCCCACTGACACCAATGATGGAGCACTATTCCTCCCACTGACACCAATGATGGGACACTATTCCTCCCACTGACACTAATGATGGGACACTATTCCTCCCACTGACATCAATGATGGGACACTATTCCTCCCACTGACACCAATGATGGGGCATGATTCTTCCCACTGACACCAATGATGGGGCACTATTCCTCCCACTGACTAATGATGGGGCACTATTCCTTCCACTGACTAATGATGGGGCACTATTCCTCACACCATCATTGGTGTCAGTGGATGAAATAGTGCCTCATCACTGGTGTCAGTGGGAGGAATAGCACCCCATCATTGGAATACCATACTGAAATAGCATACCATATTGAAATCAAATCTGATGTTTTTTCATTTTTATTTGGTGTGCGTTGGAAGAGGGGTAGTCTTACACGGCGAGTATAGCTCAAACCCTATATTTTAGCAGGAAAAGTAGGGGGTCGTCTTATACGCCCAGTCATCTTATACGCCGAAAAATACGGTAAATAAAATAAATAAATGCACTGTCACCACCTCACTGAGCCTAAAAGTGAAGCTCTAGCCTTTTTTCTACAAGTCCAACAGGGAAACAGGTCTATACAAACAGAAGACTTCCAGTCATCTACCAATTGACTTTATATCAAAGATTTGTGAAATGCATTTTAATCTCTCTATCTCTGAAAATACACACTTTGAGCATGTGTGTACATATGAAATGACATGTGTCAGTAGTACAGAATCTCTGAGAGAAATGGTTTTATAGAACCTGCTCACAAAAGCCATGGTGATTGGAATTGTTGTTATCGAAATAAATAACCACTGACACTGACAAATAGATGTTGATAAGCGTATCCCCAGTCCAATTAGAACCATTCATGGCTCAATTAACACATGACCACTTTAGAACACAGAACTATCCTCAACGGTGAGGATAGAACACCTACAGGGATGATTGGCCAAGGGTTAGAGTCCATCTCAAATCCAAATATCTCCATAAATTGAGGAGCATGAGATATGGATAGTGTGATTTGTATGGAAGCTGTTGTGAGCAATGCGGATTGCTAAATTTCTTGATGTGCTCCCACTGGCAGTTTATTTCTCTTTTTTTCATCCCTCTTAGTTAATATGCAAATGCCATATTTTCTCATATCTTTTATGCACTGCCCACCTTTGGGATATTAAATTAATTGGGTCACTTCTGTGTACTAAGCTAGGATTCATGTCCCTATAGAGATTGTTGTATTGTGGTGTCTATGTGCTTGATCTAATTTCCTTGTTAATCTTTATGTAATTGCACTGTGGTTTGGTGGATTGCATATAGATTAAAGTGGTATTAAACCCAAACGCAAAAATTTATTATGTGGGTAGGGGTGGCAAGCTCAGAAGTAGCAGCCCTGGACGTCATTGCTATCCCTAAAAGCTGAGAGAGCAGCCCATCTAGGAGGGGTGGTGAGGGTAGTGCAGGAAGGCCTAGACAGTTGGTGGTAATAGAACATTATATAATCAGAAATTAAAGAATAATTTGTCATCAGGATCGCCTCAACCAAATGGTTTGCTGTCTCCCTGGTGCCAGGGTTCAACATGCAGTGGACTGGGTTGATAAATTGCTGGGAGGGGCTGGGCAGGACCCAGCTGTCTTGGATTTGGGTTTCTAGAGCACTGGACTGACTTTCATTGGGGTACAACCTATATGCTAAAGATAGTTTGCACCTAAATGGAAGGGGGGCTGCTGTACTGGGGGAGAGGTTTATGGGAAGGTTGGAGGAATATTTAACCTAGGATTGAGAGGGGAGGGAAAATTAGATTATAATGGGGATTGTAAATCAGAGAGGGGTCAGTCCCTACTGATGGGTGGAATGGGGAAAGATGGAAGGAGACCTGTGGCAGCTGATAAGAAGGTTCCCATGTTACAAACCACCATTGGAATAGGTAATATTTGTACTAAAATAAAAAACATGCATAATATGTGTCAAAATGTCACAATGAATTAAAGTGTTTTGTTTACCAATGCCAGAAGTCTGCCAAGCAAAATAGGTGAGTTAGAAACTTTGGTGCATTAAAAGAACTATGATTAAATTGATATTGTTGAATCTTGGCTTCATTCTTCACATGACTGGACTATTAATTTTCCTGGCTATGTTCTCTTTTGGAGAGGCAGGGTAAAAAGGAAAGGTGGTGGTGAGAAGCGATCTCTAAATGTGCTTAAAGGAGAACCTGGTTGATGTAGAGTGTGATGAGGCTGAAGCATTATGGATGGAACTGCACATGGGTGTGCGCACTACAAAGGTGGTAATTGGAAGTTTGTTATAGGCCACCCATTGTTAATGAGAAGGTAGAGACTTAGCTCCTTGCACAGATCAAAAGGGCTGCAAAGGCTGGGACAGTGATAATAATGGGGGATTCTAACTACTAATTGCACTGCAGGAACAAACATTTATAAACCTATTACAAGACAATTCCAATGGACAGTTCATAGAGGCCCCAACTAGGAATGATGCTCTACTGGACCTGGTAACCTCAAAACCGTGCAGAGCGTATTACTAATGTTCATATAAAAGAACATCTTGGTAGCAGTGACCATAACATGTTTTAATTTAATGTTAGCTGTAAACAACAAGCACATATGGGAAAGATAAAAACACTCAACTTTAAGAGAGAAAAATTTTTTCCAAGGTTGAGGGCTGTTCTCCAAGACTTAGACTGGAAGTGAATATTGGCATTGATGAATCCTGAACAGAAATGGGAGTTCTTCAAAAAGACTATGCAAACACACTGCAAAATATATTCCCATGGGCAACAAGTTTAAAAGGCTAAAAATAAAACCTATGTGGCCCATGACCAAAGTTAAAAAATCTATAAATATTAAGAAAAGAGCTTTTAAAAAATATAAAAATGAAGGAACACTATCATTGTTTAAATATTACAAAGAATATAACGGGATATGTAAAAAGGAAATCAAGTCCACAAAAATTGACGAACTACAAATTGCAAAAGATAGCAGGATAAACCCCCCAAAATTCTTCAACTATATTAACAGTAAAAAATGTCAGGTCTGAGCATGTAGGCCCTTGACAAAATAATCTAGAGTGGGTAACTGGGACAAGGAGGAGGCAAATTTATTAAATACCTTCTTCAGCTCTGTGCATATGTAGCGCTACCCTAGTGAGGGCCACTGTGTTGTGAGTATCCCTAAGCCTGCACAGCCAGGCAACAGGTATTTCTCACACCAACTTGCATCCAGAGACAATGATAGGCCCATGGGCTTGGGTTTGTTATTTTATTAGGGGAAATCAACTTGGGTAGGGGATAGGGATTATGGGATACCCAGTTTGGCTTGAACAATGGAAGGGGAACACTTCACTCCTATGTACAAAGGTAGAACCTGGACTGTTCTTTTCCTGAAAGCAGTCAGTCATTGTGGTTCAGTAGCAACTTCCCTTTATGGGTGAGGAACTAGCAGCCCCTCGAAAATCAGTTTACTTCATTTTTTTTTTACCTTAAACACACTGGCACTGACACTAAGGCCTTGATTTACTATTGGGCGTGGGCGCATATTCGTGGGCGAACGCCCAATTTTTATGGGGCGACCGTCTATTTTTACCCTGCAACCAAATTCACTATTGACCAGCGCCCATAAGCAGATGCCCAATCTAATTCACAAAAAGACACGCCCGGAATCAGACTCACAAAGCAGACTTGCTAAGAAGCACGTCTAACACCATGAAAAATCACTGCAGAGACATGTTCGCTTAGAAATTTGCTTTGCCAAATATCAGGACTTCACTTTAAACAATATCTGCTATTTCCAAAAAAATTAAGAATGTGTTAAAAATAGTTTTTTTCAAGGAAATCGACACAGTAAAAATCTAGACGCCCGTGTGCAGTGTCTTTGGCCGATATAACTGAGCATGTGCAGAACACATTTTAGATGTCTGCCATGGGCGTTTGCTTTTTAGCCACTGCCTAATGGTAAATCTTACTGTGGATTCCTCTGAAAGCCGGCACTCGGTCGCGTCTAATGTGTTTAATAAACAGCACTAAGCATATCTTTATGTATTCTAATTAGATTTCCTTAGTTCTAGTGATTCTATTTTTGTTTCTTATCCTTTATAATTATTTCTGTAATGATTTTACTTATTTCGAAGGTCTAGATAATATTTATTTTGACAGCTGAATGTAAAAATAAAGGTCCGCAATAAAGAAAAAAAAAAAAAACAGCGTGGGTCCCCCCTTTCATCCTTACCAAGCCCTTCGGGTCTGGTATGGATATTAAGGGGGAACGCCACGCTGAAATTTAAAAAAAAAAAAACAGCGTGGGTCCCCCTCAATATCCATACCAGACCCTTATCCGAGCATGCAGCCCGGCAGGTCAGGAAAGGGGGGGGGGACGAGCGAGTGCCCCCCCTCCTGAACCATACCAGGCCACATGCCCTCAACATGAGGGGGGGTGCATTGGGGCAGGGGGGCTCCCCCCCAAAGCACCTTGTCCCCATGTTGATGAGGACAAGGGCCTCTTCCCCACAACCCTGGCCGGTGGTTGTGGGGGTCTGCGGGCGGGGGGCTTATCAGAATCTGGAAGCCCCCTTTAACAAGGGGGCCCCCAGATCCAGGCCCCCCCCTACGTGAATGAGTCTGCGGTACATGGTCCCGCAGACTCATTCACAAAAAAACTAAGCGTGGTGTAAAAAAAAACACAGTACAGGGTCTTTGACAAGTCCTTTATTAAAACAATGTCCCCCGAAGTAGCTCCAACGTCAATCGCGGCGGCGGCAGGGACACGAAAAAAAAAAAAAAAGTTCTGCTCCAGTCCGAGGCTTCCAGCCTTGTGAAGAAAAGGCTAGCTGACATTTCTTATATAGGTATGGGGCGGGGCCAGCCGGGGACATCATCCGAGTGACCCGCCCCATGTCACATGCTTGCTGTTCCCGGCTGGCCACTAATAGATTTGATAATGATGGTTTACACTCCATCCACTTTTGTGAAGGATTTGGCAAAGCAAAGAGCTGACAGAGAGAGAGAAGAGCGAGGTCAGTGAGACAAAGAAGGGTGAGCGAGAGATACATACTGAAGAGTGATAAAGAGAGACATACAGAAGAGTGAGCGAGAGAAAAGAGCGAGCCAGTGAGACGACGAAGAAGAAGAGTGAGCGAGAGATACATACTGAGGAGTGATAAAGAGAGACATTCAGAAGAGTGAGCGAGAGATACATACTGAAGAGTGATAAGGAAAGACATTCAGAAGAGTGAGCGAGAGCGAGAGAGAAGAGCGAGCCAGTGAGACGTAGAAGAGTGAGCGAGAGATACATACTGAAGAGTGATAAAGTGAGACATTCAGAAGAGTGAGCGAGAGAGAAGAGCGAGCCAGTGA